AACGCGTTTAAACGCGCCTGGGAAAAACGCGTTTAAACGCTAGCAAATGGTGCATTTTCGGAGCGATTAAACGCAGCATAAAACGCGTTTTCAGACGCGTCTACGATCGAAAAATATTTACATGGGTCTATTAGTCTGAGAAAATATTTGACAGTGAACGATTTTGAGGTGACTTAAACGACGGAGATCGACCATAAGTCATCATTGTTTATTCTATGACTTTGAACACGTTCGTTTAACATATCTGTGCTATCAAATGATTTTGATCTTTTTACTGTTTTTGTTGTTGCTGATGATGATAATTCTGGTGAAGGAAAACTTCCGTGTCTAGCTGCACTAACCGATCTTATTAATCGAACGCGCTCTTCGCGTAGTTTCGATTTTGATTGAAATGACAATACACTATGTCTAGTTGAATTAAAACGTTTATAAACTCTTTCATATTCGTTGGTTTCGGCATCTTCTAAACCTTTCAACACTCGATGTTCAGTAACCAAATAATCGGCTTGAGATAAATGTAAACTTCGTAATTTATGACGATATTTCATTGCACATGAATGTGCCCGTTCGTCTACAAGCGCTTGCACATCATCTGGAGACATAGTTGTACAGGCTTCATGTTGAGCATAATATGCACGAAATATACGCTTTAAACGGTCAACATTGGCTAATTCTTCTAAAACAACAGAGAAAAAAGATCAGTGCACATATCAGTTATGTTTAAACATACTAACCGTAGAGTTTATTCTTATTAGGCACATCCCATAGTGTTCGTAAAAATGATGCTGGTAATTCCTTTTTTTCTCGTTGCGTTTCTTTGAGCTGATGAGCAAACAATCCTACGATACCTAGAGTAGGCAAATCAGCTAGAATGACTGTATTGACAGACGACGTTGAAAAGATCGAAGATCATTTATATATAAGTTGTGCATCTTCCAGTTAGAGTAAAAAGTTACAGTGACCAAAGAGTGCCCTCTTAGAGAAAATCTTTATTTTTGAGTTAAACATGTTACATTCTATATTGAAGTGTCATTTAAAAAATAATGCTGTTCTCACCTCTCCATGGGAGGCGGTTGAGGAGATACGAGCTTTTTAAAATTGATTACGTTAGACTGAAAAAACTCTATTTTCTCGCTTTCAAAAACTTTTCTTTCATTCAGTGCTTAAAATTCTTTTCAAATAACCAGTCTTCTATAAAAAAAATTTCTCTACAAAATGATAGATCTTCCATCTCTTCTGCAGGTTTTCTGATCGAGTTACACTCATTTTTTACTGGGAGCCCTGAAAAAGTGATATTTGTAACACAAAGCCCTTGGTTCATAACTCGATTTGGCCTAAATTGAGTACTTTACGACTCTCCTAAAATTTTATCTAATGAAGTTCGAAACTTTACTATAGATATTTCAGACTTCAAATTTTTTTCCACGTTTTGCTTTTTCTCCTCCAGTAATGTGGTTTTATAATCAAGAGTTTCAGGTGATCACGAAGCATTTTTTATTTGTTTGATATTGAAAATAAAAATATAGTTTTTCAGCCTAAAATAACAAAGTTTAAAATATTCGTATCTCCCCAACCTCCGCCCGTGGAGGAGTAGGAGCAGCATTATTTTGTAAACGGCATTTCATCCTAGAATGCAATATGTTTAACTCAAAAATGAAAATTTTTCTAAAAAGAGTGAGCTTTGAGTATGAAACAGAAAATAAGCTGAAATAGCTTGATTTGTTGATAACACACAGAAATCTTATTCTGTAGATAAATCATTGTGTTAGAGAGAACATCTCTCAATTCATTCAGAAAGAAAATTTTCGTTTCAATGAAAAAGCTCTAGAAAATCTTATCGTTCTTACGCTACGCTTCTAGAAAATCAAACCCTTTATTTTCAGGTCCTCTAATTCCAACTGCAAGCTTTTTTGAAGTAGAGCAGTTGAATAGAACAGAAAATCCTGTAAAAAAACTGAGACGTCTCCCGGCTCTCGACGGCATCTTTTCATCACGCTACATAAAAGCTATGAGAGGCCTTGCAAGCATTTTTTCTGTTTGTTTTCCTGTTCATTTTGCTGGTTTCGACAACATGAAGCCTTTCGTTGATTTCATGTTGAAAATACTGCAGAGATGTTAGAGACGCTTCACTTTTTACAGAATTGTCTGCTCTATCCGATTGCACTATTCTCAAAAAGCATCCAGTTGGAACTAGAGGACCTGTGGAGAAAGGGTTTGACTTTCTAGAAACTCTAATTGCGCTTGAGATATAATTTTTTCGATATGTCTCACAAAAAGAAGATGCTTTCAAATCCCCATACATCAAATCGGAACTTAATTGATGCAGTTGTCTTCGTTTCAGCCTAGACTAACTTTCTCATGCCACACGTCTGAATGAGCCAACTGTTGAATGAAAATTAGTTATAATTTAGCAGCATCAAAAAAGACCACCGTAAAAGGTTTCTGTTCTTTCGTGTGGGGAGAAACTAATGTCTTATTGGCACAAATACGTGAAACTGTCATAATGTACTCTGCTATGGTTAGCTGACTCATTGATATGACTTTTTCTTGGTGCTATAGATTTTTCACAAAAAACTAATTTTTCACATACTTTGCTCTCTTCCTCAAACGCAACGACATGTTCGAAATCTGGTCCTCGAGATGCATCGAATGACATGTCTGTCAAGGATGTATCGAATAGAAAATGGCAGCCAAAAGATTTCACCGTTGGTCATCTACAGCCAATTTTTCAAAAAAAAGTCCTCAACTTTCCCGTGTGATGTCTCTAATAATGAGAAGCATTAATAAACGATTTAAAATGGTTCAAACGCCGAAAACCGTCGATATCGGCCCAACTAGCCATAAATGTGCACTGTCCCCTTTTACCCTAATAGCACATTTTTTAATATTTTCATAGACAAACCTAATCCATAACAGCCAATATAAACAATCATAAACATAGCCGCTCCAGCACTATCATTGTTAAAATCTATAATTAATGTTGAGCTAACATCTCGTGTAAAATTAGATCGATTATCAAAACATGGAAGACAATTTGGAGTTTGAGAAGTTGAATTAGACATCGAGTTTCAAAGCCAGGAAGAAAGAAAGAATAAAAGGATGAACGATTCTGAATGTTATATTATTAGTTTAACGTCAGCTTGTTATTGAAAAGAGAAGAGGAAACAGCATGATGACTTCTTTACTTCGTTTTCATATACAGTTTCTTTTTTTTCATTTCAAATACAATCGTTTAACATGGGTAGTTACCTTCTCATAATAATTCGTATTCCCATATAGTTAGAAACGATTGCAAATAATTGTTCTTTGAATGTGTTTGAAACCTCATGAAGTCTGTTTTACCAGTGAAGAGTCCGAAATACGAGAGTGTACAAATATTTATAACTTTTAACTTTTTTTGGTCAATTTTTCAGCGGAAAACCATTTATAAATCAAATATTTATAAATAACGTTGATAAATCGATGAATATTTGGAACATTGTCCAAACCATTTCGGACTTTCTTGTTTTCACTCTATTGTTGCTGAGAGATATCGTAGTTGTTCTGTAGAGAATCTGGTTCTTCCCTTTGTATTTTATCAAGACAAGTCGAACTCACTTCAAAAATGAAAAATAAAACAAATAGAATGACAAGAACAGATTATTTTTCATGTCAAGAACAGATTATTTTTCATGTCAAGAACTCCACTATTTAGTAGTATTTAAATCTGAAAAATATTGAAGAAAACACTAGCCGTAGTCATGTCCTGAATAGCTTTTGAACAAAAATATATCCAGACCTATGATTCGGTAGATGAGATAGTGAGCTATTTTTTTCGAAACAAAACAAATTTCAAAGATAAGGCTTCTAAAAGGTCTCTGTAAATTGGGTTTGTGGTTCGAGAACTTCTCATAGATATACCCTGATTCTTTTTTCATTGGTCGATAGTCCGAAGTGTTCATCTTCTTCGAACCAGAAGTCAACCAGGTGGTACTTGTAATAACTGTGTGATTATAAAAAGTAATCAACTTTTCATATTCTCAAGATACTCCTCTATCTGTTGAGTAAAAGAAAATGGTTTAAGACATAAATTTGTGCTTAAGGGTTTCTCGACATGCTCTCGCTTTTCTCTAGTGGAAGATTTTTTCCAAAGTGCTCGGAAGTAGGGTTCTAGAAAACAAGGTTTTTTGACGTACAAGTTCCGAGTAAAATTAGTTTAAAAATAACTTAACGTTAGAAATTAATTTTGAAGATGATATCCGTATTCAACATTGAAAGACGAACACTTTAAAAAAAAGCAGTCTCCAACGCAAAATCTGATTATTCAAATAGGATTTCGCTGTTATAGCATAACGATTTTACCGCATGTATACTTATACTATGAGGCAGTAAGCATCTGCATTCACACCTTCATTAGCAGAAAGAGAACACAGGTAAACAACGCAAATCTGTCATGGTATTTAATAATAAGTAATAATTCACTAAATACCATGACAGGTTTGCGCGAATCAGAAAGATCAGATACTGGAACTTTCATACACGTCCACGTCTATTTAGGTTTAAATTCTCTTTCGAATGCCGTTTGAACGAATTCTCAATCACCTTGCTGAGCTGTGATATTTAAAATTTATAAAAAGTTGAAAATTAATTTAAAAAATCAGATTTTGCATTAGAGACTGATTTTTTTTAAAGTGTTCGTCTTTCAATGTTGAATACGAATATCACCTTCAAAATTAATTTCTAACGTTAAGTTATTTTTAAACTAATTTTACTCGGAATTTGTACGTCATAAAACCTTGTTTTCTAGGTCCCTACTTCCGAGCACTTTGGAAAAGACCTTCCACTAGGCAAAAGTGAGAGCATATCGAGAAACCCTTAATCACAAAAAACGCGAAAAATCGGACTGATAGAGTTGAAGTTAGCCTAGACCGACTTTCGCGCGTATCACGCCTATGACAGATAATTCATTTTTCACATAGATAAATCAGTTTTGTCTGGACATAATAATCGATATATAATCCGGGATTGTGATAGTGAAGAGGAGTGCGTAAAGCGAAGAAACAGTTTAAGATATTTATACCAATATGAATAGACCCGGTCTAGAAATCTAAAGAATCTGGAAGAAGACTGTACGACGAAGAGTGATAGATAGTAATCCAAACTGTTTGAGTAGAAAGGAAACTGTGCGAAAGGCTGTTGATATATTAATACGCTGTTTACCTAAAATGGACCATTAGTTAAGCTGGTCGTGATATTGTAACCCAAATAGGTAAAGGTTACATTGGATTGGATTCAGGTTATAACTTAGTACGATCAATGGAACTGTAATCTGCGAGTGCACAACTAGAACAACCGTCGTCTTAGTATTAAGTTCGATCAACCACTGATCGCAATAAACTTTCCGACTATCTAATATCCAAATCTTTGCTCATATTCTTGCAAATAGTTCATCGATTCTTGAAACGACACACCAAGAGAGGTACATAGAAAAGCGACCAAATCGTCGGCATAGAAATGATTATCCGCATTCAATAAAAAAGGAACTATGTCAGCAATAAAAGCGGCAAATAAGATGGCGGAGAGAATTGAGTCTTCCGGTGAATCACATTTTAATGGAAATGGTATTGATGTCGAGCTATCAAAGGGAACACAAGCCGACGTATTAGACAACTAACTGTGAATCCATAGCCACAACCTAGTTGGAAATGAGTAACGAGCTAACTGAACCCTTTCCCACGGATAAAAATTAGGTACACAATCTTAGAAATCAGGAGATTTATTTTAACAAATGGGCAAAAATGCGTAGCGTCTTACAAAAAAATTCATTTCAGATACGTTTTACTACGTGATCCGTGGGAAAGGGTTAATCAGTAATGCATGGGCCTAATTCGATCGACAATAGAAACAAAATCTATAAATAGAACTCCGTTGAACTGACCATTCCGCCATAAAATGTTCATGTCCATTATTTCATGTGACTGTTCTCGTTTATAAACAAAAGACAGAGAAAAGATAATAGTTTAGTGATGTGTCACTCGAAGTTTAGCAACACTTCTCCCTTCATCTAAACATAACGTCTGAAGACGTTGTTTTTGTGATAGACACTAAACACCTGACAGCGGAATAAAGGCATTTTTGACACGCAACATTTTTATGCAAGGAGAAGTGTTGCTAAACTTCGAGTGGCACATCACTAAACGCAGTTTTTGACGCTGAGCACGAATATGACGTTAATTTTTGATGAAAAATGTTTCTTATAGATGAAAAGCCGGTTCTGATGTTCAAAAACACGTTTTTCCCTCTGAACTTAAAAGTGTAAATTTCACTTTTCATATCCATATACAGTAACTACTTGACTACATGATGACGCAAAGATACCCAAAAAATGTTTACCCTCCCGTACAGAAATAATATATCAAAAATAGCCTCATGATCCAAAATATTAAAATATCAGTCAAATTCTCCCACTTAACTTCCACACTATATTTATCTTACTCAGTTTTCTGGTTTATGCAGAATTTTTTTTAGTTACTCATACCTGAGATGGAGAGTCACACTGAAGAGTATGACACTTTTGGCTTAAAGTCGCGTTTTCACCCTAAGAAAAAAGCTTTTCAAAATTATTTTTTTACCAAAATGTTGCCCTCGCTCTCTTCTATTTATTGATGTAGTTTTCATATTTTGTCGGTGTTTATATAGCGTAAATATTTTTTTTATCAAACGTACAAATAATTTTGACCAAAAGAACACAGTGTTAAATGTCAGGTTGATACATCAACATTTCTGTGACGGCATTTCCACGGGCCGACACCTCTGCGAATTATGGAAAATAAAAGTTAAAAAAACTTTCAAGTTATCATTGTGTTTCAAATACTAGCAAAGCAGAATCTGCGGAACAACTTTCCTTCGGTTCGAATTATTTTAACTTTGTCTGTCCAAAAAGTCAGTGAACAGACTGCGACGAACAGTTCGCAATAAATTGGCCGCACACCGGATTGTCCTGTGACTAATTACCTAGCGCCGAAAAGATCGGATAGAATATCTAGACAATCGATCGACATCAAAACATTTCACAATTTCAAAATGTCTCAAACAGGGAAATAATTGAATAATAGACTTTGAATGGAACTAGAAATGTGGCAGGCACAAGATTTTTCGCACGTAAATCGAAACTATTTTCAGAGTGAATAATCAACAGATCTGATCACCACAGGCCGATCAATTCATTTTGAAATCATTTGCATGCAGTTTTTCTTTACAAATCGTTTCAGAAAAAGAGTTTCTTACTATACCAAACGATAGACAATTTAATTCTCTACAAGATTATATATTCATTTTTAAGACTCATCTTTGATGTTTGGCACAGTAAGTCTAACAGGAAAAGCTCCAAACTTCTCAAGTTTACCTTCAAGAAATCGATTTTTTGCGCAGAATCTCGCTAAAAATCATTTGTTCAATAAAACAAGGTATACCGAAAAATTCAACAAGATATTTTCTACAATATAATGCCTTTTTAATGACAAACAATGAGTTTTTAGATGAACTCAGAGCGAAAAAGAGTCTTTAAGGAAGGTCATTTTTTCCTATTCATCTTACGAGCGTTAGCGACAATCAGTATTCCCTAGTTTTTCAGGTAAAAAAAGTAGCAGATTTATTTGTAAGTTACACAGTCTAATAGAGCGCGAAATTCTTCATTTTTTGGTCTATAAACTTATGATTTGAACTTTGAATTTTATACTGGAATGGTCAAAACTTCCTTTAAGTGCTAGAAACTTCGGTGGACTTGGAAGTTTATGTATTAAAGCCACTACCAATTGAAATAAGTTTCCTTCAAGTAAACGCTTTTGTAAAGTATGGGATTCTTGACCATTTGACTATAATAAAATTATTTCAAATCTTTTTGTACTCATTATAAGCAATTAAAAAAAGGGTGCAGTTTGAACTTTAAAACTGCGTCGTGCAGTTAGAAAATTTAGAGCTTTTCCTGTTAGACTTAAACAAACATCAAAGATGAGTTTTAATGATGAATATAATCTTGTAGAGAATTAAATTGTCTATCGTTTGGTATAGTAAGGAACTCTTTTTCTGAAACGATTTGTAAAGAAAAACTGCATGCAAATCGTATCAAAATAAATTGATCGGCCTGTAAACAGATGGATGTAGCGTATTGCTATACTACGCTGCCAATAAAATAAATCAGGTGTAAAACATATTCGATCAATATAAAAGCTAGAATTTTGTATCGATCGATGATAATAAATCGGAGAGCCCCGCATGGGCTGGACTGAAACATTTTTGAGTTCATGGACCCGGAGTGGGCTGGTATGGACTTGAGTTAAGGAAAAATTGATAAAAAACATGTTGTTTTTGTATTGTCGAAGGCGATTGTGTATAGCGTGTAGTACACAGTATAGAATTACTGATACTTCTTATCTTCGTTTTTAAGGACTCGAACCGGATATATGAAATAGTTCGCCTGACGATAGTTAACATAAAAGAAACGATGATACTAAGAGGAAAAATATTTAAAAGAGAACGGATATTTTTTATAGCTGAAGGGAGAACGGATGACCGAAAAGAGGACGGTTAACATTGTTTGGAGAACGGGTTTTTGAATTTGTATGTATGATTCATATGTGATATAGTCGCCTATATAGTCTCCGTCATCAGTCATCATGAATTTCAAAATTATCGAATCAGTAAAATGTACATGTTATTCAAAAAAAGTCAAAAATCAAGAAGTAAATTTCGAAACAAAAACGAAATAACATGTTTCGATGTATGAGATAACATGATTTATTTCAACAATGCCAAGCGTGCCTTCTTGGTCGACCTCGTTTTTTAGCAAAGTTTTCTAATTTTGACGGATCTGTAACATGATAATGTCCAAAATGCATCATTATTCCCAATGCATGTTTACAAACATAAGCTGACAAGTTTTGTTTACAATTACACATTAACGGAATTGTAACGAGACGACCAAAAAATAACTAAATCGAAAAATCATGAAATGTAGACCATGGCATTAACGAATATTGTTGTATTGAATTGAATTGAAATTTTTTTATGAAATTACTATAACACATACATTGTGAGAGAAAACATAAGTGTAATACATTTTAAGAGACAGAGTAGATCTAAATATAAAAATTATTGAAAGCCTAGATGACCTCTTAACATACGTTTCCATACAGATAAAGAAGACTGACATGTTAAAAACCGAAGGAAGTTCATTCCGTTCCTTTGAGCCACGTGGAACGAAAGAGCCGGATGCAGATTTTAGCTTTAGACGAAGAATGAAAACGCTATTATTATGACCTAATCGAGAACTTTGACGCGTAGTTAGCGGTGAGATCAAATCAAACGATGAGAGAGGACTTTTATTATAGAATATTTTATGAAAGTATAGAAGACGATAGTAGAGACGTCTACAGATAAAGCGCTACAGATTGCAGCCATGTTGCAGCATTCATTTTACTTGGGTGAGACTATTTATATAACAAGGTAATAACCAATTTTATCCAAATCACGTAGCCATTTCCAAGCAGTTGCTTCTGAAGATGCATCAATATTTGGAAATGTTCTAAATCCAACATCTTCAGATTTATGAGACCAGTCCTGCAGCATTGTAACAACAGTTGGCAAAAACGATGGTAACGGCAGTTTACTCCGAAGAGTATATGTTTGCTATTGCTATTTTGCCATTCAAGCTTTCCAGACCATTGTTTGTACTTGGCATACCCTATCGTAGTATGAAGGTAGATGCGAATACAACAGAAAAATATCTCATGTTCACTCACCATTACTGCACCTTCATATCAAAATTTCAATGTATTCATCCATTGTTCTTCAAAATATTTAGCAAAAACATACAAATCCGAATAATCTCTCTATTTTTTTAACAACAGTTTTATGTCTACGTCAAATACACCATCACCAAATGCAAGTTGTAACGTACAAATATCATTCTCAATATCAGGCCATTTATCACTGGGAACCATCTTCCGACGTTCTCTGCATTTGCGTAACGTATGCGCCCAACACATCAGACGCTTGGCTGTAGGAAATTCACGTTGTTGAGAAGCAGTAATACCTGTCGCACCATCACCCAACAAATAAGCCACGTTGAAGACAATACCAGTTACCGACTGAACGACTTGTTTGAATGTTTGAAACACATGCATATACGAATCAGCTGCTTCATCAGTTGAGATCAGAGCAACACCATAAAGGTGGAAATGGCGATTGGAATCACTACTACCCAAGACTAATAACGGTATTTCATTCCAATTTACCTTAAACGTTGCATCTACTTGTAATAATGATAACAAACTACCAATAGAAACTAATTGACGCGTGGTAAAGAAAATAAATACTCGATCACAAGAATCAATGGCGAATCTCGGTACGAAAACATCATGAGGTGAGACTGAATGGGATGTTTTCGACAATTGAACTCCTTCAAATAAACGCTTTTCCCGGGAAAAAAGATAAATGAGCGCGTCGAGACGCGTTTAAAAAAATTCATGTTGACGCGTCTGGTGGTTTCCCTATAAAAAAGGCGTTTAAACATACCTTATTCTAATCAAGCAATGTATAACCATAAAATACATTTTTTATCGAAACTGAAAATCGAATCACGAAAGTAAACACCACCCTAAGACGCATCATTCTCTTTGATTAACCACATCATACTGACGACTGAGAAGCAAATGAAGATTCTAATACAATCGGACTTTTAGTACATCTTCTGACAGTGCCCATCGTCTTCAATATCTTTCACAGAAAGAGACTAAATTTGATCATTCTAAAAGTTGGGTTGTTTAACGTCCAAAATTCCACCGAGCTCAATGCTGCAGAGTGATCAAAAATTAGGATGAAACAAAAAATGCATGCTAGCTATACTCTTTCAAGCGTGACAAGGACAGGGCGTAGGCTGGCAGATTGATAATTACTCATATAGCGTGTTTGCAGGATATTGAGGATAGTAAGGAGAAAAGAGAAAAATATGTACAAACGCAAAACAGTGAAATGGCTTTTAAAAGGTTGTCTCATGCTTCAATTTTAAATGAAGATAATTTCCTGGGGAAATTTACACGTGGACTGCAAAAAGTTGAATTAAACGTTTTCATTTACAATGAAGATAGTTATTTTGAAGAAATATATTTTAATGTCAAAGACGTATTATCAGCCACCAAAAACAGCTATAGTACGAAATGTGTTTGGATTCAAGTCATTGGCCCGATGGAACAACGAAATGATGTTGTTCGACAGCTGAGCATTCATTTTAATTTACATGTACTGACACTCGAAGATATTCAAACAAACGAAGAGAGAATGAAGCTCGACATATTCGATGATGGAATATATCTGCTGATGAAAATGATCTACGTTTACGAACAGAGTCGTACAGACATCCAACAGCAACAGGTCAGTTTCTATCTCAAAAAAAATATCCTGCTAACATTTGAGGAGAAACGAACTCATCTCTTTTTTCCGATCAAACACCGGCTGGCGAACAGTCTAGGAAGGTTGAAAAAACTAAAAACAGACTATTTATTCTATTGTTTGGTTGATATTATCATTGAGAACTACATGATTGTCCTTGACTCGATTGGTCTCACAATAGAGCTTATGGATGCTGAACTGATGCGAATAAAATCGCTCGAACTAGACAATCTAAAACTCATTTACAACATTAAACATAACATGCTTCATTTTCGAATTATGTGTCCGCGACTTAAAGACATCTTCAACAAACTCCAAAAAGCTCAAGACCAACTACCTAGACGAGATCTGTTTGCGGCAGAGCGACAGAAGCTAAAACCACTGAAGAAAAAAGGAGTCCGACGAGTATCACAACAAGCGTCAGTAGCTATTACACAGCAGAAAACATCACGAGGACGATCTCTGTCACTGGTATCGGCTGATATTCTATCCAGGAGGAAATCGATAGGGCGATCATTATCGGTACGATCAAACAATGATGTATCAATATTAAACGAATACATATTTATGTACTTCAGAGATTTACACAACCATATATGCCAGATGAATGGCACCGTCGACGTGAATAGTGAAATGATATCTTCACTCGTAAAGTTCTACTTGATATCGAACGGAAATGCCATAAATAATACAGTGAAATTTTTGACAATGATCAATGTTGTATTCTATCCGCTGGTATTTGTGCTCAGTTTAAATTCGATGAATTTCGGTTGGATTCCGCAATACAATTATGATAATTCATATTTCATTTGTTTAGCTGTACTTGCTCTAATAGTTTTGGTCATGAGCACATGGTTTAAGATAAAGAAATGGTTTCAGTGAACTCGAATTGTGATCACAACATGCGTATTATTCTTTTCGAAACATAGTACATTTCGATAGTTTTTGAATAACCTTTTATAGCAGATGATAGAGACCGCAGATTTCACCAGTCTCGTCAAGAACTCATGTAATCAATCTATATGGAACGCAAGTCTCAACATCACTTGTGGCGATGTACACGTGGCTTGAAAATCCACTGGAATGAATTTTTGATTCCAAACCACAATCTCTTCTACAAATCTAAGCAAGTCCGAGATCTCTATCTATCACTGCTCAGACGCTCTGCAGACGCGCCTGTCTAAGTGTGGGAACCTCAAAAACGGGTAGAACACATGTTATCGACTATTCTGAATCTTATGATGTGGGCGTTGGACATAATGGTCAACTTTTGGGTGCTCCCAACACGTTTTGTAAAAAACTTAGCTCTTTACATTCTACAACAGAGGGGGCAGGCAGAGAGAATTTTCAAATGGACCTATAGAAATAGATTTTACAGAAAAATAGTGGGTCTGTAAGGAGAAACTTAGAATTCGTAAAAGTTTCTGACAGAAGGTCGCGAAAGGACGTCTAGTTTTAGATTTTAGATTTTGCACAATACTCGACTCCAATTAATATAGTGTATTTGTCTAAAATTTACGTAGAGAGAGTTGAAAAATGAAAATTAATCAAAAAAACGTAAGCATTCTTCCAAGAAGTATTTTTTGAGAGTCATAAAAGATTCACGATGTAATCGATACAAAAAATCAATCATGTATGTCGCTATATGTAATCTTCATTCATCTATGTTCATGCACTCATATTTGCATCCCAATTTAAGTCGCATCAATTTAGAAATATTCTAGTTTATTTGTGTACTTAAAACTATTTGTTTTCTTTTATTCCACATTTTATTTTACCGTGACATTTTTCACATCACTCCAGTCCATAGGGAGCCCCTGAATGAGAGCGTCGCCGATGCGTTCTATCACTCGCTGCTACTAATTTTTTATCTTAAAATCCTCTTTACAGGCTTCGTCCTCTGACGCCTCCAGCGCGTCAGATGCTTCCGCATATCCTGCTACACTTGAAAAGGCTTGCATGGAAGATCCATCTGTCTTTTCATAACCAAGCATTGTCAGGTTGCTGAGGGAGGTCTATCACTTCCTCTTTCGAATCGCTTTAGCGTAGCCAGCAGTAATGAACCTCATCTAGAAAAGTGCCAGGGCCTGCTAGTGGCGTCAGCAGGGAGCATCACGAAAATCTAGGAGTGGTGAGAAATGGAAGAAAACAGTTTCTTGGTACGAATCCAGTGTTAGAGAATTCAGATACTGAAAAGATTTTGGAGACGCCGTCAACCAAGAAAAATGTGACCGAAAGATGGCGCTAGCAGTTGACGGGACACTCTTGAATCTAACATAGGTTTGCTTACCCGGGTGTGCAGTGCAGTTCTTCTTATTGTTAAAGCTGAGTCATGCTACAGCCGTCTTATGGACTTGGACCAAAACTATTAAAAATTCAAAAGCTGAAAGAATGGAATACAAAAGGGATTTACTTGGAATTTCTATACCCTCTCGAATACTAACCAACACAAACAAATTGTCCGGCCTTCATAATTAAAAAGTTCTATTGGTTTGTTTTTTCAGAAGCTGTTAGATCAGTGTTCAGATTAAGTGATGAAAAATTGAACATAGAATGGCCGAAACTCCATGAAGTTTTCATTGTAGAGACTTGAGCTTAGTCTGAAAAGGTTCTTCATTAAATTCTCTACAAAACTATAAGAAAAAAGCACGCACAGTAAGTAACTGTGAATTTATAGGCTGTCAACACTGCTATATGTCAAACGGAAGCACTTTCCAACGCACATTTTCAGAAGATTAATTATCTCTCTGATTCTGTCTTATCAGACGCGAAAGCACTCTAATGTGAATTTTTCCATGTCTTCGGATGTGCTCTTTCTCACAGCACTCAAAACGATTCTCTTAGACAATAAAATGAGTTTTCTGGGGCAGGTTTCCTTGAAAACGAAAACGAGTTAAAACTGAGCAGCATTTTTCTATCGCGCAGTATGAGTGCCAAAAGATGACTTGTACTTCAGCTGGGTTGGTTAGAGATGATACAGAAAGCATTTTTATGCAGCTTTGCAGAACAATATTGGCAAGAAAACGTTACACTTTGTCATAACTGAACAAAATTTACAATGAGCCCCATTAGAAGGGAGTAGAAAACCGAATATGAAATATAAGGAAAAAGGCCTCGATCACAATGGCTTCGGATGAAAAACTTATCAGTCGCTTCCCAACTGATAAACAATTGCAAGGGCTACAAAATGGCATATTCCGCCTTTCTCTATGCAGTGAAACAATAAAACAAAACGTAATAGTGGTTGGAAAGTGCTCCCGTTTGAAACATAGTCGTGTTGACAGCCTATAAACTCACAGTTACTTATTGTGCGTACTCTTTTCTTATAGTTTTGTAGAGAATTTAATGAAGAATCATTTAAGACTAAGCTCAAGTCTCTGCGATGAAAACTCACCGAGATATTGACGAAATACTGACGGTATCATTCTTTATGCCGCACCCGATATAAGAACAAACTTTTGAAAAGCTAATTAATTCTATCCTTTATTCGAATTTATTAAGAATAAAATTTAAATGAGCAATAAAATAATACGAATGAGCAATAAAATAATACGAATGAGCAATAAAATGATATAGATGAGCAATAGTCACGTTTAGCGGTAAAGAAATTCAATGAGCAAAAATTATACTGACTGAGCAGTAATTATACTAAACGGGCAATAATAATACTGAATGAGCAATAAAATAAAATAAGTGGGCAATAATTAAACTAACTAAACAATAATTTGTTCTGCTTTTATCTGGGATTTTTCCACTTGTTCTCGTTTCTACTTTTATCTGGGACTTTTCTAATCGTTCTTATCGCTGCTTTTATCTGGGAAAAACCCAGATAAAAGCAGATTTTCATTTGTTCACTATACCAACACTAGTATCAATAACGCTCTAGACCAATCATGTTATAAAAGATGAAGATACAATAAGAGAACGATTAGTTTTATCAAGATTCACAGTTGTTGTATTTTCAATGGACTGATGGATATAATTGGATATAATTGGGTCAAGCTAAATAAAAAAGTTATATCTATTTCAAATCGTGATAAAACAATATATTATCTGCCTACTGATCAAGAAACTACAATAACAGATAAAGAAGTAAAACGCTACGAAAATTGCAGGTTTAATTCATTTGACACATACAAGTCTGTTTACTTTAAAATATGGCGCGTGTGTTTGTCGAACGATGTCGAAGAGTGGAGAAAAGGAACTTGCAATTGCCCATCATTCCTCAAAAACTATATTTGCAAGCATATCATAGGTTTGTCTAACAGACTAAAATATTGTAAACCGCCACCAGAGGCAAAAAACGTGGATATTGGATCAAAAAGAAAAAGAGGCAGATCATGTAAAGCAAAGAAAGCATTACTGGTACAATGATGTAATTAATTGTTCATTTTTCTTATTTTTATTTCCAATTGTGAATATAAATGTTGTACTTTTCTTTTTACTACTGCTCACATCGGAAATTATTATTGACATTTACTCAATAAATTATTGTCTATTTAATAATACAAAACTGCTCGAATCAAATTTTTTTATTGCTCAAGAATTACTGCTAAATAGTACTATAATTATTGCTCATATCGATATAATTATTGCTCGAATAAATACTAGCCATTTATTAATATACTTTCAAAGTATGATACTCTCGAAAATAATCTGTGATGCATAAGGCAGCATTGCAATCTGCACATTCGTATCTAGTGTCAGATCTTTTCTTTGGTCGCTTGACAGTCTTGCTGCAGACAACACATCGTCCTTCGCTAAAAAATGATAGAAAGGTACGAGCTGTCAGTTTTAGTAGGTAACACCACGGCGATGGCAATCACAGAAACAAATAGGACTAAGGAAATCGGCACGATACCAAGTACCATAGCGTTCTTCAACAAAATAGCAACGAAGGCTACCATCACTATAACGGTAACAAGTGCAATTGGGTCTGACTGAAGGAGATGAAACGGGTGTCTTTTGTTGTTGAGTTTGCGTTTTATCTAAATAGAAATATTGAGAAGCGACTCTTGGAGAAATGAACTGGAGATCGTGCGTACATCTCGCCTGATAATCTGTTGAAGAGGAGATGTGACGTCAGTACACTCTCTAACACAAGAGATCACTAGCGACTGGATATGGCTCTACGCGTTCTGCATGTCTGAACCGATGACAGTAGCTGTATGTGAAAACGTAAGTCGCCGCGTGTATACTCCACCATGCACACTCAGAGCCGGAGGCATGATTTCATAGACGGCGGAGCCTGTAGGTCTGGGTAGGCTAGAGCCTATCGTAGATTTGAGAGCAATAGGCTTGGATAGGCTCAGTTTTGTAAAAAATTCTCATCGAATCTGCGTATAATCTTTGTTATGAAATCGGTTGTGAAACAGAAAAATTAGTTCGATACTGCATTTTTTGGTAATTCATTTTTAAAACATGAGAGAACTGCAATAAAATTATTCATTTACTATTTTTGCCATGGTAGAGGTCAAATATTTATATGACGCAAACTCTGTGTCTACCTTCGATAAATCTGTTTTATATGACGGGTATTAGTAGAAAATTGCGATAATGAAAT